AAATGTAAAGTAAATTCTTTCAATAAAATGATTTAACGAACAATGGATGACCTTTTCTTTATATCCTTTCCCAAGATCCTAACTTTAAGTTTCAGTATTTCTTCCTAGAACAGTGAACATCAACACACACACAGTCACATTTTTTGAAAAACACTCTAATAAAATGTCATATGTACAATATGAACAGACATGTTTGCCCAAACAGCCACACAGCAGCAGGCTACAGCTTTTCCACCATCCTCTCGAAGAGACTTAAAAAGCGCAAAGTCTTCTCCTCTGACTCCTCGTGTCTTCTCTGTTCCTTGTCCGACTCTGCTTGGAGAAAGTCCAAAATCCTCTGGCTATCTGTCCTCTTCCTTTTTCTGGGGGTAGGGGTGTTATGGCAAGAGGATGAAGAGGACGGGGTTGGTGAAGAGGGAGGATTGTTTGAGGATGGAGCTGGAGAAGCAGACCGGGTCGATGGTGCAGAGGAGGCAGAGCCCAACTGAGTATCCTCACTGGGGGTCTCGTCAGGATTGACAATGGCCTGTTGGAGACAAATTATTGTCACGTCATGGCAAATAAAGTTATTAACTGCACGGCTACAAGCACTGACATAGCAGTGTGTACACATCACAAAGTACACATGCCACTCGGTCTACAGCACGTGGAGAGTGCAGCGTCCCAAAATGTTCTGGACTCACTCCCAACTGAGATCATCACCTGCACTGAACTAAAAGTATTCACATGCAGTACAAAAACATGTCTATTGGAAAGGCAACTCTGTTTCCATGTGTGACGTGTCTGTGTGAATTCAGTGCAGAAATGTCTTTATAATAAGTGAATAATGGGGCTGGCCAGTGTTTTTTATTTAACTTGTGGTAAATGAAATAGAAATTTTGGTCTGATAATTCCTCCAATTACTTACATTTTACTGTTTGACAACAACCTGCTCAGGGACTAGTGGTTCAATGCATCTTTCCTTTGGGTTAATGTTTATTGTACACCGCCCCTATAAAAATATTCCCTTGTTTCTTACCATTAGCAAAGCTGTAGGGTCTTCAGCTGGCCTGAAAGACGCCACAACAACAGGGGGATCCACAGCAGGCCTTCCCCCCAAGACTGCGTGAAGCGCAGCGTAATACGGCCAGTTTGAAGCGGTCTTCTCCCCACTATCTGTGCCTGAGCCAGTCTTTGGGTCCCTTAGGTCCTACACACACACACAGCAAAGTGAGTTGAGGTTACAGGATTAACCAGACAGATATATTTGCAGATAATTACCTTGTAGCGCTTCTTCAGGTTCTCCCACTTCTTACTGACCTGCTTGTGGGTCACTTTCCCCTCCAGGCCCAGCTCTTTCACTGCTTGCCTGTGAACATACAGTGAGGTATAGGCATTTAGCTGTGTTCAATAGCATTATTATTAAGAATAGAAGTTTCACTTACTGCCACAGACTTTTTGTCTGAAATTTTGTTTTCAGAAAATTGGCTTCATTCGCAGCTCTGTAATTTATGAGAGCAAAGGTTTTCTCCGTGGTCCCTGGGGGAAAAACAGCGTTGGTCAATTGTTCAGTTCCACTACTACTGCAAGCTGTTTGCGCAGATTTGCAAACACACAACCAACGTTAATGGTGAAGACAAACGCTTACCTATGTTTATGAATTCAATGCACACCATGCCATGCACATGCACACGTACGAAACAGCGAGCCAACACCGGCATTCTACATTGTAGAACAAATTGCGTACCCACATAATTCTGACACGTTTCATAGCTTTTAGAGTGCATGTTTGTGTGAAATTGTACTTACATTTGTAGCTTTCGCTCCCGAGAGTCGGCGCCATGTTCATTTGGAAAAACTGGTTTGCCGGAGTTCGCAATGCATCATGGGATCACCCTCGCTCGCAAGTGAGCTCCCGACCTCACTTGCGCTCAAGGGTGGTTTTTAGGGCAGTGAAGACCCTCGCCTCGTCTCCCTAAGTATTGGGACACCCTTGCACTCGCGCGGGCACGCGCAAACGCTAGGGCAAGTGTGCTTTTTAAGGGCAAGGGCGAGAATTGGGACGGGGCCTAAACATATGTTGATACAGGAGACTTTTCAACGCATTGAAAAGAGGAGCAAGAGCAAACACAAGCGGACTAAAGCCTTTTATTACGGCGCGTTCAGACCAAAAGCTTCAAAAAGCTTTTGACGCGCGTCAGCTGACGCCGGGTTATTTTTGTCATTTTGGTGCTTGAAGCTTTTGACGCGAGTGACGCGCCTGACGCGCCTGACGCTGGTGGGAGGAGCTTCTCTGTTGCCGGTGTAGTCCAGAGAAGATGGCGGATTTCCGAAGAGCAGCTTGCCTTTATTTGTTGGTAAAATCCATACAACGTCGTCGTAGGGCTTCTACACAACGTGTATGGGTTCACAGCATACTTCAGAGGCGTGCAGTGTTTGGTGAGTTTCACCATTTACTCCAGGAGCTGCGTATGGACGAGGCTCGCTTTCAGCGGTACTTCCGAATGTCAGTAGCCCAGTTTGATGACCTGCTCACCCGCATCGGAGCTCGCATCGCCCGCATGGACACCAACTACAGGCGCTCGATTCCAGCGGAAGAGCGCCTGTCTATCTGTCTGAGGTTAGTGAGAATTTTCTGATAAAATATCTACAAATACAATAGGAAATAGCGTCCCTAGCATGGATCACGGAGCGAGAGAGAGGAGCAGCCAAAAGCAGTAGTTAAACGTTGAATATACGTTTTAATTAGGACATAAAAGTTAATTGTAATAACATTTCAGGCGGGAAATATACCCCACTAATGTCATATCAGAGGTCTGTTTGGTGATTAAATAGATATTTAAATTTTTGTCGGACTTTTTCCCTCCAGCGCGGAGCTCCAATGCTAACCGGCTAACCACGGGTGTTGAGCGGCGCTGAACACCCGTGAACCCAAGGAGGCTTTTGTTACAGACTTTCTCTGTTATAACGATTGTATTTAGAGTAATCATTAATACAATTGATATATTTGCTATGGCCCTCGTTTGTGCATTTGAAGTCATTTTGAAGGTGCATTGTGTCACTGTAGTGAAGTTATTAGAAAACTGATCAATTAAATCAGCATTGTCTGCTACTTAGTACTTAATATATTCAGATTCCCAAGTGATTAACCCCCCTGTGATTTCACAAGAGAGGGTACATTTCCATTGTTGGTGCAATTCCTGAAAACAAATTTACACAATCATATTGTATGATTAATTTAAAATATTTTTGTATATTGCTGAGTCGTATTTGTATCATTGTAGGTTTCTTGCTACTGGGGACTCCTTCAGGACCATAGCAAGCAGCTTCAGGGTGGGCATCTCCACCATCTCCAGCATCATCCCAGATGTGGTGGCAGCCATCTGGGACGGCCTGGTGGAGGAGTTCATGCCTGTGCCTGGAGAAGAGGAGTGGAGGTTGTCTGCTATGGAGTTTGAGGAGCGGTGGAACTTCCCTCTTTGTTGTGGTGCTATAGATGGGAAGCACATCAACCTCAAGGCACCCCCCAACTCAGGCTCCCTGTACTTCAACTACAAGGGTAGGCACTCCTTGGTCCTCCTTGCTATTGTAGATGCCAACTACAAGTTCAGGGTGATTGACGTAGGGGGCTATGGCAGAACCAGCGATGGAGGGATCCTGGCCAACTCCACCTTCGGTCAGGCTCTGCATGCGGGAACACTTCCTCTGCCAGCTGACCGGCATCTCCCTGGAGCAGAGCACCGAGGCCCCCTGCCCCATGTCTTTGTGGCAGATGAGGCCTTCCCACTGTGGAGGAACTTAATGCGGCCTTTTCCAGGAAGTGGCGGCGCTAACCCTGGACAGCGCATTTTTAATTACCGCCTCTCCCGAGCCCGGCTGGTGGTGGAGGATGCGTTTGGCATTTGGTCATCGCAGTGGAGGATGTTTCGTCGGGACCTCGAGATCCGGCCAGAAGTTGTGGAGAAGTGCGTGAAGGCCACATGTGTTCTCCACAATTTCCTGAGGGTGTCTGCTCCGGTCCCAGTCCTGAGAGGAGCTGCAGCGCAGGGAGATGACTGTCTTCCAGGTGTCGGGAGGATGGGTGCCAACAACGCCACCAGAGAGGCACTGCAGGCGAGGGAGGCGTTCATGGCCCACTTCTGTGAGGAGGGGGCAGTAGCATGGCAGCCGACAGAGTAGTCAGATCCTCACGGGACTGACCCAAAACGGTTCTTTTAAGAGCCACCCATGAAAACTAAAGAGCATTTCTTCTTTAATAATATTTGAGTGTCTGTATTTGCCAATGCATTACTTTTGAATATCAGGACACAAATACTACAACATCCTGATCATGAATTCTAGTCTTGGATAAAGACCATGTCTATGTTTATCCAGTATGTTTTTGAACCATTCACCTGTGCCCTTCTTGTTTGCAGGTAATAGTTCCAGATTCTGCAGCTGTCTCCGACTTCACAACATGTTCAAGCATGGCCTCAATTACAAGTTTGTCCAAACAGGATATGCTGAAATTAATTATGTCAACTAATTTCTATTGTCTCATATTTGGTGATAACGTGTTTACGAGTAAAGTTCTCCTTAATTGAAGTATTTGAAATTAGTGATATTTAACTTATTTGAACACATACCTTAATGAAAAACCTGTACATATTTAAAGTAGCAGACCAAATCTTAAGTTATAAATTTTTTAATGAAATATGTAAAAACAAGTATATACACAAAAAAGAACAGGAACAGGAATAAAAAGGACCTTGCTTGGAGGAGGAGGAGGAGTGCAGGAAGGAGAAGAGTCTGTTTCCTCCCCTGCAAAAGAAGCCACCTCATAGCTAAACACTACTACTAAGTGTGCTCCAATTGTTCCACATTAAGCGTAAATGCGCTGCTCTCATAAAGTAATTTATGAATTTGGAATTTGACAAATTCTAAAGATTGAGGTGGCACCTTATCCAGGAGAGGAAGCAGAGATTGGAGGAAGAGCTCATTTTGTGATGGAGCTGGAGCTGCAGTCTGCCGCAGGAGGGCCATCAGCTCCAGCTCCAAGCGCGATAGCTCCTGGGCGGAGGTGTCCTGGGTGGTGCGCTTCCTCGCTCTCTTCCTTTGTGGACCTGCAAACACCACAAGACAATGGCTTTAAAAATATAAAGTCATGAGTATGTAGGATCTGATAATCTATGAACAACTTTTAAATCCTTTTCTTATGTTAAATAAAATAACTAGATCCTATGTAAAAACAGTATTCGATTTGTATATTTCACTTTTTGATGCCCACATATTCAAAAGTATTTGTGAAATGTTTAATATAACGTTTATACATTCACAACAATAAAATTGATTTCCTACACACCTGTAGGTGCAGCAGCAGGGGAACGACCGGCAGCAGAGGAAGAACCAGCAGCAGAGGACGGTCCAGGAGCCGAGGACGGTCCAGGAGCCGAGGACGGTCCCGGAGCCGAGAACGGTCCAGAGGCCGAGGACGGTCCAGCACTCGGCTCTGTCTCTGAACTTGACTCCGTATCAGCGTCATCTGTTATTAAATAAATTACTTTCACTTCACAGCACGTGTACAATCATTTTAAGAACGTTAATACTCATATAAATAACCTTGCTATAAACAATAATGACAACAAAACAGTTTAGTGGGAAGTTGCATGACTTCTTTCCATACATTGTTTTAGCTACAGACCTACATCTGACATTAGTTTACAGCATATGTACATTTATTTTGCCAGTTGCTTATTAAGAACGTTAATACTCATAAATAACCTTGCTATAAACAATGACAACAAAACAGTTTAGTGGGAAGCTGCATGACTTCTTTCCATACATTGTTTTAGCTACAGACCTACATCTGACATTAGTTTACAGCATATGTACATTTATTTTGCCAGTTGCTTATTAAGAACGTTAATACTCATAAATAACCTTGCTATAAACAATGACAACAAAACAGTTTAGTGGGCAGCTGCATGACTTCATTCAATACATTGTTTTAGCTACAGACCTCCTGCAACTGACACCTCCGCTGCTGCTGGTTCTTCCTCTTGGAGGTGGCTGTCCCCCCTCTCCTCCTCGGCCCTGTGTGCTGTCATGTTACCAGTAGATGGCCTCGGTGTTACGTAGGGCTCGAGGAAGGAGAGCGATGCCAAGTACCTCCACCTCTGCACTGTCCCTGCTGCTGCTGCACCACTGCGCCTCCTCTCTTTCTCCTTCCTGCACTCCCTCATGAACCTGTCCCTCAGGCTTTTCCACCTCTTTTTGATTTCTTTCTCTATATGAACAAATGGACTTGTGAGCGGGAACAGAAATCATAGCGACTGTACATTGTACGACTCCTGACCGGAGTTTACTAAACATGGAATACAGATATGAATTCTTTACATAACTTACCATCGTACCCGATCTCCTCGCTTATCCTCCTCCAAGCAAGGTCCTTTTTATTCCTGTCCCTGTATAGCGGGCTGGAAACAGCGTAAAGCTCTGGGCGAGAGCTAATCGCCACGATTAAGCTCTCCTCCATGTTCTCGAATATGATTTTGTTTCCCGCTTCCACCGGCTTCATCGTAGAGCGACCCTGACTCCTGATTGGTTGAAGCCCGCGTCAAAGCTTCAAAAGCTCAGCTTTGCTCAGCTTCGGCGTCAAAGGGATTGTTGTGATACGCGAGCGATTCGCGCGTTACAAAAGCTTCAAGTGAGCGCGTATTACGCGCGACCTTTGAAGCTTATGTAAGAAACCAGAGTTTACGGATGGCTACTCCAGACACCTTTACGAGAATATGTTTAGACCATTGTTGATAGACATAGACTGACAAAACAGAAGTCTTGGTGACAGTTTTTGTGAATTGGCCCAAGGATCAGTGAAAGAAGCCAGAGATTTTTGACAGTTACTACAGTTAAGTGAAGATGTATTAGGAACATTATCAATCTCAAACTATAGGCTCTTGGAAATGTTTTGATGTCACATAAACGTAAACTATTATCAGAAAACAGATGATAATAACGGCAATAGCATGGGAAAAAAAAAACCCCTCAACATACAGTATAAGGTCAAAGATGGATGCTCCCCGTCAAAAAGCCAGGACATACACACAGACACACACACACACTTCTACACACACACACACACACACACACACACTTCTACCCACTCATCATCAGGACATGCTCGAGGCCTGCTGTTTGTACAATAGAAAAGTGGGCACTTAACACTACGTCTTTACTCAAAGTCTTAGCTGTGGCGCTGACTCACCTATGAATCACCCAGTACTTTAGATACAATCAGTCACTTCCCCGGGATTTGTGTGCCACTCTAGCTGATAGAGTGAGAGGGTGAGCAGGTGGGGGGTGAGAGGAAGTGTGGAGGGAGGGGGGTCAGGTGTCGGACCAGAGCTGCGAGCGCCAAACTGACTCCACACGAGAGGGCACCGTGCTGATTAGACTATTATCTTCCTGCTTCCATTTCCATCCCAAAATCGACTCCTCTTTCCTCCCTCCACACAGGGAAATATCAAAATTGTACGATTGAAGAAACAAAAATGGCAACATGGGGTCAGAACAGATAAGTCCAATTACTGTGAAACCTTGTGTGTCGGCAAGGCTGACGACACCTCGCCGACCTTGCTTGAGTCGGGTAATATCCATCTCAAGTGTCGGAGCCGCCACTATGTCGCCGCGGGCCGTGTTGCCATGGGTCGTGATGGGCCAGAGGGTGTGAGGTTAGGAGCACGACCCTGCGAACGCTACAATCATTTACACATGTGTCCAGACTGCTTTACCATCCAAGAAAGACATCCAGTAAGTCAGAAAATCCAGACGCAATTTATAAAATACTATAGGACAGGTCCCTAAACCCCAAAAATGTGTCAAGTAATCATGTGTTTTAGATGCCTGTGGCCTCAAAAAATAAATCATAAATATTTTGAAGCAGACTGATAGAATGAAACCAATGGGACACGTTCAGCTCCTCTCGATTCAACACCTAAAACATCTACAATTGCTGAACCAAAAACCCCCAAAGTGCCATTTTCATGTTTGCTGCTCACCCTGTTGTGGCAAAGAGAAAATCAGATGAGGAAAAGGTGTTTTATAAGAAGGCTCGGGATGATTTAATGTGAGACGAACATACTCTTGCTCATGTCAATCCATGAAGATAAATATATAATCAAAATAAATACATGTAGAATGACACTGGGTTAAGGCCAGGCCAAGAAATATATTCACTCATTGATTTTCCTGGGGCAGCGATGGGGCTGAAACTAATGATTTGGCTACTAAAACCAACAGATAACTGATTGAATTGCACCACTGCAATAAACATACATCCATCTTCTTCCCTTTAATCCATTTCTGGGTCGGGAGGGTGGCAGTCAGAGTTGCACCCAGTTCACTGAGCACCAGCCCCTCACTGATCCTCCTGCAGGTGGTGAGTCCACAGGAGCTGAGATCTTTCAGTGGGGGCTTCAGGTAAAGTGGGGTTAAGTGTCTTGGCCAAAGACACAACGACCGCAGACATCCGCGGGTAATAAACAATTATAAATTAAAAACATTAGCAAGAGTGCAAGACATTAATGGACAATGGAATAGAAAACAAAGTGAAAGAACACCAAGCAAATATGAGAAAAAACCATAGACTGTAAGCATAAACAGACGTAGTGACGGCGATCTCTGCCGCTTTTTAAAAACTGCCGCAAGTTGCCCCTCCCACAGGAAAATGTGAAAAAACGCATTTGTGCATGAGTGGGCCGGAACTAGGTCCATTTATTGAGCGAGTGCATTCAAAAGTCCACAGCGGCTAAACTAGACTGGTCCCCCCCCAAAAATCATCAGCATCAACAACATCTGAGACAAAACCGACTTTCGGACCTGCCCCCGCTGGAAAATACTAACCAATCATTACCGGTATCCTAATAATCAAGTGTCTTTTCTGTGAATTGTTGGCGTACAGAGCTAGTTCCATATCTGCTTAGTCCATCCATCCAATGACGTTGTTTGAACTCGTTGACAGAACAAACTTGTGCTGGAAGTTGTTGCAGCAGTATTTTTAAGTGAGCAGTTAGCTGTCAGGCCATAGCACCGCTCGGCCGGTGTGACTCTTTGATTAGTTGATTAGTGCCGTTGAGCGTGGATCAATAAGACTGCAGACATGACATCAATAGAAGAGGAGGCGTCCACGTGACACGCCCTCAGCCTCTCTGTGGGCTCTGTCAATGAGCACAGCTTGTCCTTGTAATTACTGCTACTAATGAACAAACAAGGAGAAGACTTCAGTTGCACTTTAATATTGAGACTCGGGAGGGAACAAACTACAAAAAACTCAAGAACATCTTTTGGGTTTAGAGTAAACATGTTCTTTATTAGCCTGGCCTTAGCCATCCGTACACTCCGTTCAATCATCATTTCACTGCATGTAACGTCTGGGTCTGTGTTTGCGATTACAATCGGTTGAATTTCGACCGACCATTCAGAAGGCAGGTGTTGTAGTTAGTTGTGGGTGACGTCAGGAGTTTGCGTCGAACGGGAAGGTCGTAGATTGGTATTGGCGAAAAATGCGATAGTAAAGTAATCCGGTCTGGTTCTATCAAGAAATGTAAGCCGGAGTAAGGGTAATGTTTAGCAAATGTAATCGCCGGAAAAAATTGTGACGCTACTCCCCACGGGCTCCATTAGCGGCAAAGGAGATGGCTAGACTAAATGCTAAATGCTAACAACAGACTCGGGCGCATTACACGCGTCACGGTAAACTCAGATCCAATCGTTTCAACCTGCAAAACGAGTTAACTCCCCCCACCTGTTAACGGAGCTCAATGGAGCAAATCCAGACCTTAGTACGAAATGTCATTTGTACTATGGTGTGGTACGACCAGGCTAGCTCTTTATGCACTTTTAAATTTTTTCTACTACCCTATGGACCTTTGTGTTTGTTATTATTGCATGTCTTCTGTTTTAACTTATACATTCTCTTTTTAATTCTCTAACCTGTTGTTGGCGAATAGGGCGGGATGTGTTTTAGGGCTATACACAAAAATATTGAATTGATTCTACTCTAAATATACATGGAGAAGCATATACCACATATAGAAAAGTGTGATGGGTTGTGGACAGAGATCCGAGGCACCCAGTGGTTTAATATAAAAGTCGAGTATTCAATATGGATATGTGTTTTGGCGTGCATCCATCCTAACACAATACAATACATAACAATATCACAATGAAATACAAGGCTACTATACGGACACTGTATATGAGTAGTTCATTTGCAAGATAAGTGGAAATGGAAAATATTTGAAAGGCTTACATTTTACCCTTTACCAAGTAGTTTTTTTCAATAGTCTCATATAAATAGCCTCATACACACAAAGTTTTTACCTCTTATTGAGTAAATTCTTTCAAACGTCCAGCCGATACCAAAACGTGCTGAAGATTGTGGCTACAGAAATACAGCTTTTTGGCAATTTTTCAAAAGGGACTTATAGTATGTAATGACAGATAAAAAAACAGCCAAAGTTAAAACATGGCGCCATGAGCACTGTAAACTGCAATAGCCCCTTCAATTTAAAAATTCAATTCCAAGGGCTGCCTTAAAATGTTGATTCCAAACAATTAGAATTGTATAGTGTAATCAAGTTATTTGCCTGTGTTTATTCAACGTATGTAATTCATTCATAGTACTTGATAATACGAATCAATTCAATTGCTTTATTTCAGTTGAGTAGAATAAGGGAACGTTGTTAACTGAGCAAGCTTGAGAAAGTTGAGTCAACGACTTTCCCTTATTCTACTCAACTGAAATAAAGCAATTGAATTGATTCGTATCATCAAGTACTATGAATTAATTACATACGTTGAATAAACACAGGCAAATAACTTGATTACACTATACAATTCTAATTGTTTGGAATCAACATTTTAAGGCAGCCCTTGGAATTGAATGTTTAAGTTAAAAGATTATTAAAAGTGGTTATCTTTAATCGTTTAACCTACTGGTTTGTTACTTTACACAATCCATTTTACCCTATTAACAATTTACAAGACATTTAGCTGGAAAGACCATTTTTATTGCCACAGACTTAATCAAACTGAATGTTATTCAAGATTATTCAACAAACTCAAATAAAATCAATAAGTTAAATGAACAATTCAGTCCAAACTTTTACCATGTAAATATATATGTTTTAAATTAGCTTCAAAATAAACTTAAAACCCAATACTTTTTTTTAAACCCTGGCCCTTGTCCATCAGCCCTCATTAAAACATACACCTGGTTTCATTTCAAACTCAGACAAAAGGATAAAATTACCCTTTAAATAATGTGAGTTTTCAATTACATGCAATTAGGGCTATAACAAGTATAGCTTTAAATGGATCTCTAATCAAATTTTTTTTTTTATCCAAACATTTATGACTGACAGCTGTATCTACCCCAGAATTAAATGGTATATCACATTCAGAAAACGATTTTAACTCCACAATGAAATCCACGCAACTTGTTTTCACACACAAGGACCATCCTCACTCTCACAACTGAAAAAGTTGTGTTCTTGAAAAATATCTAACAAAATGTGTTATCCCCAAATTTAAACTGAGCTTCTGAGAATGTTCTTGATTTGTTGGCACAATTCATTTCATTAAATCAAAGGGGGTGATCACAACTACTACATACAATCATGGGTCAGAAGATGTTACATTTTCCTCACACCATGAACTAGTGAAGAACAATGTCCACCTCTGTTTCTGAAGGAGTTCCAACGTGTACCTCATTTCTCTGGGATAGTCCATGTTCAAACTGTAAACCCCATGAGCATTGCCATGGCTGTGGGAATATCACCAAGATCTGTCAGTCACTGATTCCTTCAGCACGACGGACACATTCAGACCTCTTCAGAAGTAGGACCCACTTTGATCTCTGCATTCATATCAAAAAAGGACAAAAGTCCAAACATGAGTTTGAACCCAAACTGAGCTCACTTGGTGGAGGCAAATTACTAATTATGCATGTACGTATGCCTTTAAAGATTGCTTAAAGTAATATGCCCACATCTGTGTCTTGTGAGGGCCGATTGTGGCTCTTTAGGCCAAGCGAGGGGCACGTTTGTTTTTTCTTCATAATTTAGAGTCTGCAGTTTTTATTCAAACTTAAAATAGATCTGGACCTTCAGACAAAGCTGAAATAGGTTAAAATGTATACAAATCCTTTAAAGGAATTGGCCACCGTTTTTACATACTGACATATGTTCGTACCTTAGACTAGTTGATATGTACCTGTCTGGTCTTTGTCCGTGCACTCTGTCATGCAAACGGAGCACAAACTTCCGTCAATAGAAGCAAGCTGAGCGGGAGAGAAGTCTTTAGGAGATAGTGCGTGGACGTAGTGCTCCTCGTGTTATTACGCCTCACAATATGGTACCCCTTTTTATCCGCTGAAAAAATTGACATGCTACATTGTAGTGTAACACGCCACGTAACTGTATTTAAATAGGGAACACGTGGAAGAGTTTAACGGGAGCTGATTTCGTTACTATATATACAGTCTGTGGAAGAGGCTGCATGTGTGCTCCGTTTGCATGACAGAGTAATAGTAGTAACTAGTAATCTTTTATTTATATACCGCCTTTTCACTGCAGTGTGCACGGACAAAGACCAGCCAGGTACATATCAACTAGTCTAAGGTAAGAACATATGTCAGTATGTAAAAACGGTGGCCTATTCCTTTATGATATGCCCTTTGATCAAATAAAAATACATGTTAATATTATATAGATCAAAGTTTAGACGTAGATGTTGAAATCTTACCTCTACAGCTTTAACAAATGAAGAACAATCGTCCCCGAAGAAATGTGGAAGTCCAAGTAGAAGGACGGCCCTCATAAAAGAGTGAGTTGTCAAGAGTTCTCCTAGAAAGAAAGAAAAAAATATTATAAATCCTCAAACTGAAAAGCATTATGTAATCTGGATGAAATTTCCCCCACAACTGTAAAGACGGGTGGTAGTTAAGAGTTTCTATTTGAGGACAACCATTTACTTAGAGAACTTGGGTTTATGATCAACGGCTGCTGCAAATTTGATTCATTTAGGTCGACTAATCCAGTCATATGACTGGATATAAAAATGTAATTCTGCAGATTGAGTTTTAGAAAGAGGTAAACATTAGGTCAAATTGAAAAAACAAAAGTTGGTGGCCAGGTGGGGGATGTAACATGGAATGATTGAATTAGACTTAAGTTATTTTTCTAAGCAGATTAGTGTAATGATTGGAAAAGATTTGGAGATGTAAATAAATGAAACCAAAACCATTTCCATATTCAAAAAGTATACAAATATGCACAGCATTAGAATACAATTACAGTAATCTCTGAACAGAAGCAAAAGTTGGCAAGTTGAGTCACTAATTGGAAAAAAGTCAACATTTGTTGAAATGGGTAATCAAAGCATTGAAAGGCTACCCATTACAGCAGTGCATGGAATGTGTACAAGATTTCATAGTTCAAAAACGCGACACTGCAATTTTGGGGAACATTTATGAGTTTAAAGGTAAAGGTTCACTTTTATTAAGCCCATGTTTTTGGCCCTGATTTAAAATCAAGAATAGATTTACACTTGGGAAGTTTGACCCAAAAACATATAAATCTAAATGTGTGCATTATTTGGATCACTTCCATCAGGCTGTAGGAGACTGGAACAGCCCCGGGATGGCACACTTACAGTAGGGCTAGAGTTCAAGAAACGGTTTAAGTCTTGGTCAATTCCAGAGATGAGCGTTTCTCCGAGATTGACAGATGTACGGCGCGCAAACTCCAATTCAATCTAAAAATGGGAGGCGATGGACACATGAGTGGTTTACACTACATAACCTTAAAGTAATCTACATTGTTCCAACAATTCACATAACGTGCAAAGAACAGGGCCAGTCATTCTTTATACCTACAATGTATGTTTATGTACATGCAAAACCGCATGAGCCAATATAGCACAACACAACACAATTACCTATGTACATTTTTTGTCATTACCCGAGTTTACTCTGATGACTTGCACTGAATTGAATCAGCCAGGGATGCATAGTCCGGAAAATTGGTGGTAACTCGCTGACAAGTTTGTCGTGGTTTAGCTTTCCTGCACTGAGCGCGGTTGTTTGCGCATGTGCAGTCACCTAAGTGTCAGTAAAACATTACTGAGTAAAACACAGATGTCATTTGACTGTGGTGCCATGTCCATGTGCCATGCCTATTTTTTTTAAATCCAAATATTTCCCCTCCTCAGTTTATAAAATAATTTGCATCCACACATCTGCGTTATCAATCACATTCGTAACATTCCAAACATGTGCGTCTCTTACGTCCTGTCCTGCGTTGGGGAAAAACACAGAAGTGGGCGGAGCTTTGATGCAGACGCCGGTAACGGCACTTTTACAGTCATAGAAGACACTCAGAGTAAAGACGTATGTTTACAAGCACTGACCCCGTCCTCAGCCCTGGTTTAGTCCTGGTTTGGTTGTTTTTGAGCGTGAGTCCCCGCGATCACTTTGCTGCTCTCTGATGTGGAGGATGTTCGCTGCTGCGAGCATCTCACAGCGAACAGTTTTTAAGGTAGTATGATCCATGCTTCAGTGATCAGAGAAATTTAGGGGGGTACTGTGGCGTGCGAGAACGCAAAACTCCGGTTATCTCTGTCTACACACAAATGCATTAACGGAGTTTTCAAAAATCTCCACTTTGCCCGGAGTTTTTTGTATATATTTGTTTAGAATGTGTAATTTTTTCATTTATTTAATGCGATCTACCAATACTACCTTTGCGATCGACTGGTAGATCGCGATCGACGTATTGAGCACCCCTGTTGTAGATAATCCACAACAAAACTGTCCATCTAGCAGTAAAGGCATGCTAAATGTGAATTATACAAGAAATATAATAGAATTAACTTCAGAGTATAAAATGTGGATTTCTTGCAACAAGCATACTACTGGAGCTATTCTGAATGGCTAAGCAAACAGAACAGATGCCATGTATAAAACACATTTTGTTCATACCTGATTCAAGTCGTCCAGGAGCCTCGACCAGTGGACAGTGTGAACTCTCTGTACTCCTGCAGTAGAAAATAAGAGGCATTAAAATGAGTCCATCACGTGAAAACAAAAGCACTTTACGTTGCACAATGCTCATAGATGGGTCTAAAACTGCTGGTTAACATTACCGTGCGACATGCTATGCTGCTAAATGAGTAGCTACCAGTCAAATGTAAAGTTGTACATCGCTTTTTTGTCGTATGTGCAAATAAATAAATACCTGCGCAGGCTCCACTGGAGAAACCGGTCTCTCCTGAGCAGCCTCCGCGAGCGCGCACACACACAAGTACATGTCCCGCTGGTCCCGAGCGAGTGCTGTAGTCCAGCGGCACCCGGGGACCGTGCGTGTATCAGCGGCCACCGTGTGCATCTCATTCACCGAGACAAACAGACTGTAACGGAAAGTATAACGGATTAGATCTGTACAGCGTATCCGAAGCCATGGCACTTTTGTACGCGACAGTATCTTTGAACGTAGTACAACGAACGTCAAAGAAATAGTCCCACTATAAACACAAACCCACTCAAAATTGAATAGAAAGTTGAATACCCACATATATAGCACCAACACAGATATTTAGAGTATGATTATGTGACCTATCAACAAAAAACTCGAGAAGTTTCTTTTCTCTTTACATTGCTTTGAAGGCACGAACAACACGGTCCACCTCCGCCATTCTCGCAGGTTCACGACGACACAGCCTATCGCTAAGGCTGATATCTTAGATTATTTTGCAAGACATACAGCTGTCTACAACAGATCAAAGAGTTTACTTACCAAAGAAAGATGTGAGGAAGATGCCAAAAGTCCCAACAGAAGTTGAAGATGAAGTCCCAACTTCTGCTACAACCATGCGGTCATGGGCGCGAAGAGTCTGCTTCCGTGTCACGCAGACGTGATGACGTCCTCAATTAAAAGTGTTTACCAAGAATAATCAAGTCAATTAACTCAACAAGTTATCTTGAATTGGATTTTTACGTTTACTGCTGAAGAGTTGTTTCAATTCATGATTTTGATTTGTGATAGCTTTTTGGGAAAAACATGCTGATTTAACTCAATATTATGGGTTGAGATAACTAAAAGTCAAAACAAGAATTTACAGTGAGGATAAAGAAAAGGACAAAGGAGAGTAAATTTTCTCATTAAGTCCTGGATAGGAGGTTGAATTCAGAGTGTGCATCTAAAACCTGCATACCAGAAGTTACATGGTTTTATCGTATAGAAGAGCACCTGAGGGACATAACTGTTCTTATTTTTCGCCCTTGCACCAATCACATACTCAAGTGACTGTGCATTGGCTTGATAGTAAACATTTCAAAACGTCGATGTTCCTAGTTGGGGCAGGTTTGATTTAATATTAATATTTTTTGAACTTGCAAGCCATAAAAATCATTTCTCAATACTTCACTTTCCACGCACGGCCACAAGGGTCTGTGGTTTCCGCTGGTGCTGGAGTGTGTTTAATCCATCAAACTTAAACTGGCACAATATACAAAATCATCCAACTGAGATATTTTTGTCCACATCCAAAGTTATCAAGAGGCTCCCACCACTCCTGACAGGTGGCTTGAGCAGCATTAATAATAAGCTAAAGAGATCGTTAAAACCCTAAACACGAGCACACATTCTGCTCTCGGTCTAAACCATATGATGCTTTCATTTAACCTATTCTCAGAGTTATTGGGCTGAAAATAATGACATTAGGCAAATGCAGTTTCACGTTCCTGAAGTCTGCTCAGTGAAATGTATGCATTATAGCCCGTTGAGACTCAAAAGCCTTCATGTGCAAAGTCTGCTGAAGGTTGCATTTACAGTCACTTTCCTCTTTAACAACATGAGTTCATTGTCAGTACTGGCATTTCTTTTTAAAAAGCTTGTCAGGCTTAAGGATCTATTAGCCTATATGACACAGCTCTATATTTTTCACCTACTGTATACTACATTACAACAAAGACATACCGTACTTCTCGGGTGTTAGTAAAGATAAAATATACTGTGTACATGAATAGAAAGCAGTTGAATGCAAGCTGCAGGTTTTCACGTTGTCCGGTATATAACTGAAACGGCACAAATTGCTCTCAATGTTTGTATTTAATATTAGTTTTGGTATTTTGTCCTGCAAGAGACGAGCTTAACCAACAACCTTCGGGGCTCTTTACACGGAGACACTGTGACAGTAAAGCGTTAGAGTTGGTATCGGATTGGACTTTTGTTTACAAGAAGATGGTGTTTCAGGTGAAAATATAAGCATTGAGAATCTGCCTCCAGAGTGGAACAGAACAGATACATTGCAGCGGGGGTTTCACAGCTGCGTGAAGAAAAAGGTGTGAATTATCTGCAGTAATGACCTCACATGTGCAGTAGAACAAAGGTAAACCAAAATGGCGGCGAGACGACTAATCCTTCGTTTGCTTCGAGCGCTACACAGAGGAGGAACTTATAGATGTATTCCCCTCTCCTGGAGACGAGAAACCAGACAGTTCCTGATATTAGCAATTTTGTATTTTATAAAATCTTCTTTGCAGCCGTGATCGTGTGTTGAGTTTGGCTTATGTTGGGGGTCCCTCTCTGAAAGGTTTGGGGAAGCTACAACTGTACTAAACTTCTATTGAATATTCAGCTGAAGAATCATATCTGCTTTTCCTTGTTTTGCAATTCTCTTCAAGTAAATGTGCACGGCCCATAAATCTATTCTACATTCATTATTATATCATTGATACATGTAATTACAATTGATTGGGAGCCTTTTCTGATTTTCTTGCATGATTTTAATCAGCGTCAGTTTACAAAAACCTCCCCAGTCTTGCTCTGCCTTGATATGCTTTGTTACTGTCAGGTCCTGGTTAAGATTCCTCTCAGGTAGACAAGAGTCTCAAAGCCAACAGACTGTTAATGCCCTCTGAGAGACGGCAACTCTGATTCTGACTGAAATATTCCTTATCATCATTTCGTGACAAACATTTCATATTTGAAATCGAACGACACATGCATAAAGCAGCAATGAGTCTGCACTGCATCAAAAATACCCCACATAACTCATATCTGTTTCCATGATTAGTCTTTGTCACAACTTAAGCAGCTGGCACTTTTTACAACATAAAATAGAGAAATGAACTTATAAAAAAGGCTCAACTTTTCCTCCTGAGCCATCTGTCGCTTTCTCTGGATGTGAGAAATTCATGAAGTATTACGAACTCGCAGAAGTTGTGAAGAAAGCGCTGGGGAAAAACACATCGGAGTTGACCATCTGCCATCGGACACTATCTGAGAGAGAGAGTGGTGCCTGAATCCCCCGGAGCTTCGCTGGAGTCACGATGTGATAAGAGCAAAGCATTTACAGTGAGACACACAGTCCATCATCCTGCTCCACATAAGAGAAAAAAACAGACCAGTTATGGCTAATAATACTTGTGATGGTGGCGGCCTTCGGTTTTATGAACATATGTTGCTCTAGTGTGAAGTTACTACGTGTAAAGATCAGGGCATCTGCAAACTCTCGGCTAATGAATGTACAAAACGTTTTCAGTGACAGATTCACTAAAGGCGGCACGGTGGCTGAGTGGTAAGCACACAAGAAGGTCCTCGGTTCGAATCCCGGTCCGGAATTTGCATGTTCTCCCTATATCTGCGTAGGTCCAGTGTGGCGTCTCGCTTCCGTTATCGTTGTGTGAGAGAATAGAACAATATCTGACCTCTGACCTTTTGTAAAGTGCTTTGGATGACCTTGGTCTGTAAAAATGCACTATATTACCCAGCTTACTAAACTTAGAACTATAATACTGAGCATCTGTATACAAACTGCACCGGCTAAATGTAAAGGGAAAGTATACTTTGTCCACATATTGGCAACACTTGAAGATACAGTAAGCCAAAGTGTTATGTTGTAATGTAACATAACTTAACAAAATACAAAATTCTTAACCTTGAAAATCAATGTCTTTATTAAAATGTGTGTCTACTTTTTAAAATTATAAACAGTCTTATAGCCCCACCCCTCAGGAGATATGTGACGATGTGCTCTGAAAAAATGACTTATGCCACTCGATCTACGGCACGAGGAGAGTGCAGCGAGAGTGCAGAGTGCAGGCAAATCTGTTCCCATGTGTGATGGGTGTCTGCGTAAGTGTGTGTGCGTTTGTGCTTGTCTGTGTGTCTGTGTGTGTGTGTGTGTGTGTGAGAGAGAGAGAGAGTTCAGTGTAAGATTGTATGAAAGTAAAAAATGAGGGCTGGGTGGTTTTATTTTATTTCATTATAACCGGTGATACATTAAATTGTAATCTATGTCTGATAAGGTATGGTCATGTATCAATCTACTTTTATTTTACCGTTTTACAACAACCTGCTCAGGGACTACAGGTGTAAAGTCACTGCTGCTACAACCTGGTACATTGCATCTCTCCTTTTGGCTAATGTTTATTGCACACTGTCCCTGTAAATATAGAAAATAAAAACATACCATACCATTAAACCTTCAGCCAATGGAGCAAAACAATGATTCAATGAAAAGGGGTTTTATTTGACAATCACATTCCAACTAAAACTTCAGTTCAATTTATTATTATTTCTCAGGCACTTAATCATGTCTGTCTGCTGTTCACATAAACACAAACAGAGGAGGGAATATGTGTTTAGTCATCAGCTTTAATAACTGATCAGGCTGTGTTCAGATCATAGACTTTAAATATTTGACTCTGGAACCAAGCTCTTGACTCTTTTGGCCCCTGGAAAAGCCATGTTCCAGCTTCTTCCCTCCGGCAGAAGATCTGAGATGCTGGACATCACGTTTCTACTTGTCTTGAGCACACCAAAATGGTTTTACTGCAAATAGCGAATAAATGAATCTGAATTTGAATATTGACTGACGTGATGGCTTTCTCTGCTGTTTCCGGGGATGCCACCACCGACAAGGAGTTGGATTCAAAGCATTTAGGCCCACATGCTCAAGGACTTTTTGATCCAGGACCCGCCCAAAATGGTTCAAATTCGTTCCTTCACTCCAGGGAGTGCTCTATAACAAAATAAAATACATACGTTGGCCGCATCGCTATATAGGCCGCAAGGTTTAAAGAACTTGCAGCTTATAGTTCAAGTACTGTACTTCTCCAGTACTTGAACCATGTGTATCTCAGCATGAAGCAATGTAAGGTCAGAGAGTGTATTGGGCCTGTGTCTTATCCTGTGTGGAGAGGGAGAGGGGTAAGATTCATTATATATTTTTGTATTTGTTTTATTTCTGTATTTTAATGTTGTTTTATGTCTGTGCACACTGGAGACTTTTTGCTAATGTATTCCAATGTGGTGTTTTTACTGCAAATGGCAAATAAACTGAATCTGAATCCTGTAATAAATGTAAAGTCAGCAGTATGTAA